TATATATATATATATATATATATATATATATATATATATATATAAATATAGGATATATATATATATATATATATAAAGGAAATATAGGCTCAAATTGTGTGTCCTTTACATAGACACTGATCAAGAAAATAAAGGGAACACATAAAAAAACACAGTGTAACTTTAAGTCATTGAAATCAAACTGCCCACTTAAATAGCGACATTGATTGACAATCTTTTTTTTTTTTTTTTGAGTGTGACTCCAAATCCAGTCCTCCATGGGTTAATAAATTTGTTTTCCATTTAAATTTCCTGGTGTGATTTTGTTGTCAGCACAATCAACTAAGTAAAGAACAAAGTATATAATATGAATATTTTATGCATTCAGATCTAGGATGTTAATTTAGTGTTTCTTTTATTTTTGAGCAGCGTATTTCAGTTACCAAAACTAATATTGAATGTTTTTTCAAAATGCACATGCGTCTACACCAGGGGTCACCAATCTCGGTCCTGGAGGGCCAGTGTCCCTGCAGGGTTTAGCTCCGACTTGCTTCAACACACCTGCCTGGATGTTTCAAGTATACCTGGTAAGATGTTGATTAGCTTGTTCAGGTGTGTTTGATTAGAGATGGAGCTAAGATCTGTGGAACACCGGCCCTCCAGGAACAAGTTTGGTGACCCCTGGTCTACACAATATACAATATAATTTGCGCACACACACACAAAAATTAAATACAATGTTTGGGATTTTTTCTAAAGAAGTTGTTACTCCACCTCATTTAGCGCATCATTATGTCATTATGGACATTTTATGTTATAACTAACGTGGTTCAAACGACAAGTCTGCGACAGAGAAACTACGGTGTTAGGGAACACTCATCACTACATCATTCTTTTCCCAAATATTGCATCATATGGTAGTTCAGCCACGAGTTACGTTGTTGTTTGGGAAGCGCACCCTAGAGCTGACAATAGTGATGACCAAGACGAAGATGTAAGACAATTACAGGGCCTGTAAATCAGATTTCAGTGACTGGCTAGATCTGGTTTGTGTTTTGGGACGTCTGCACTCACTTGTGTCCGAGCTCATGAGCGATGGTGAAGGCCAGGTTGAGTCCGTTGTCCTCCGCCAGCACACACTTCCTCTTGGAGCTACAGGTGCCGCCCAGATACGCGATTCCTGAGGAGAAAACAAAGCACAGAGTTACAGTTGATGTCAAAATGATTCACCCTCCTGCGATATTTCCCAAACGATGTTTAAGAGAGCAAGGAATTTTTCACAGTATTTCCTATAATATTTTTTTCTTCTGGAGAAACTCTTATTTGTTTTATTTCGGCTAGAATAAAATTTCATTTTAAAACATTTTAAGGTCAATATTATTAGCCCTCTTAAGCAATATTTGTTTTTGATTGTCTACAGAACAAACAATCGTGGTTCAATAACTTGCCTAATTACCTTAACTTGCCTAGTTTAATTTAAATGTCATTTTAAGCTGAATACTAGTATCTTGAAACATGTCTAGTCCAGTGGTGCTCAACCCTATTCCTGAAGACCTACCTTCCTGCAAAGTTCAGCTCCAACCCTGATCAAACACACCTGAGCCAATTAATTAGGACCTGAACAGCAATTGATAATTAGAGGCAGGTGTGTTTGATATGGGTTGCAACTGAAATCTGCAGGAAGGTCGATCTCCAGGAACAGAGTTGGTTACTCCTGATCTAGTCAAATATTATGTACTGTCATCATGGCAAACCCCTTAAACCCCAACGCTTTAATGCCTGAAAATACACACTGACAGGGGGTTTCTCTGCTGCTGCTGTTGTTGTTGCAAATCCCTCTTTACTAGCTTTTTTTCAAATGTCATACTTGAGAGGTTTGTAATATAGGTTTTGTTTTAATGCAAATTACACTAATTTTCTTTGTCTCCTTGTCCTGAGGAATAACAACTGATTCCTGGCAAGATATAATCAGTACCTCAAAGACAAAAACAGAGCAGTTTTGGACACAGACATGCTGTTTATTTTACATTAAATATCAAGTTTCGTAACTCACTGGATGATGTTGTTATTGCCAATGCTGTTGAAAGGGATAATGGGTTTGTTAATAAAGCAACGATGATTTGTGAAAGACATTCAGTATTTTTTTTTTTATATTTTTGTGCTAAAATAAAGTAAATATGAGATATTATAAACATTAATTTTTCATTCATTCATTTTCACCTTAGTCCCTTTACTAATCTGGAGTCGCCACAGCTGAATGAACCACCAACTTTTCCAGCATATGTATTCCCAGGTGAAAAAAAATACATAATTAAATGCAATTAAAATACACATAAATACCCGCAAATACATTGTTACAGCGAATTCCTTGTTGATTTCGCTGTCCCCAGCAGGTAATGTTTTTAGACGCAGGACACTTGCTTGAATTTTGATCCACTTTTATTCTTGCTTCCAAAACATGTTCCAAAACAAACAACTTACAATAAAATTCTCAATGTCCTCCAATTGAGCGTTTGAAAACTGTGTCTCTCCCCACTGGCATGCTTCTTGCTGATTAGGTTCAGCTGATATTGGCTTTCCTACAGTGCAGTGACTAGTATGCCCCATAGGTGGCAGCACAACAGCTGGCAAAAAGTAGGCCAAAAATAATACAAAATAAAATAAATTAAATACATTACTTTCTTTCTAATTCAGGGCTCCGACATCCGGCCCCTGATTGGGGATTCCACAATCATAACAATATTTCCAAATCTTAAGGAGCCAAATATAATTCTACAAAGTTACAATTTACATCAAATTTACATTGTAAAGAAAAACAATAATAATAATTCTAAACTAGAAAATGATGTAGCTCATAATAGAGGTAAACATTTAATTTTCTTATTGATTTACATTTTCATACTATGAACCTTTCGATCAGTCTTTACTGTCTATTTATTAGATTCTTCAGCCAACAGGCACAGTTTATGGATAGGTCTTTGAAGTGTACCTGTTTTGGTTTTCACTATAGCAACTCTTACAAGACCTTGGCTATCCGGTAGAGTCTTTAGGATCCTTCCCATTAACCATGAATTTCTTGGAGCAGTGTCATCAACTATGAGTACCAAGTCTCCGGGAAAAAAATTGTTCTTTATTCGTTGCCACTTACTTCTCTTCTGCATTAACAGAAGGTATTCTTTAATCCAGCGTTTTAGTACATTGCTATTTTTTGTGTTAAATAAAAGTTTGATGGTTTTATACGATAAATATACTAATTAAAAGTATGTTTATACTTCAGTAGGACTTTAGTACACTTAACAAAAGTATATTAAATACCAGTAATACTAAAATAAATTTTTAGTGTACTATAATGAAGTACACTACAGAAAAAACATCCAAAAGACTTTAATTAGTGTGTTTTTCAAAAGTATGCTTTAAATGCTTTAAACATTAGTTGATTTTTAGTTCACTGTTTACATACTAATCTTAAGTTTAAAATAAGTTAATATATAAAATTGTAGTAGAAGTACATTTTCCCAAAAGTTGTACTTAAGTACACTTAATGTGAATGCATTATTATCACTAACTAGGGATATAACAATATTGTAAATACCGTCTTACCGCAATAGTAATTTTTTTCAATATTACCGTAGACGCATGACTCAATAAAACTATATTTCTGAGAAAAGTTTGCTTAGGCGAATGAAACGAACGGGAGGTAGCGGGAACTACAATTCCCATCAGCCTAGGCGTGGCCATCATCCTGTGCGGTCTGTTGTCACTACAGATCCAGTAATGGGGAAATGGAGTGTGCTGCTAGTAGCGGGGATGAAAAAGAGCTGGAAATGATCGAACCTAAAGCGGGTTTTAAATCGGATGTGTGGAAGCATTTCGGTTTCTTTTTAAAACGATACGAAAAAGTAGAAAAGGTGACAGACAAAGAAAAAAACGGTATGCAGGCACTGCCAGACTGTGGTGAAATATAAGTCAGGGAATACGACTATTAACAGTCATGGGGACTGCAGAACACGGCACACTTGTTAGATTGATGCAGACATTAGCTTGTACCGCAAAGAGACCTCTATCTCACTCATGGCTTGTCCTCTCAAGTGGTGGAAAGACAATGCACAACGTTACTCACTGCTGTCAACCTTGGCTAAATCATATCTCTCTGTCCCAGAAACCTCAGTCCCAAATGAGAGGTTTTTTTTTTTCTGTTGCAGGGGTCATTGTAAATGCCCAGAGATCCCAGCTTTTACCAGATTATAGTTATATGATAATTTTCCTTAAAAAAAAACCCCATCTCTATCTAAGTGAGTGAGTGATTAAATGTTGAATGTGATGAGTTTTCAACAATACTAAATTGAAACTTTATATTTTTTTTATATGGTTTAATAGTTTTTTGTTATTAAAATTGAAATATTTAAGTTCCTGTTTCGTAACTTACAGATAGATGGCTAATTTGTATGTCATTGATATGTTCAGTGCTAAGGTAAATAAACACTTTTGGCACTTTTTTCGAGTCTTTTCATTAGTTTTGTTTTTCCTGTAAATGATTCAATAAATACCGTACCGTGCCATTCATACCGAGGTATTATCGTACTGTGAAATTCTGATACCGTTGCATCCCTATCACTAACACTTAAGTTGATTTTGAGTGTGGTAATTTTAAGTTTACATTAAATTGACTTCATTAAAATCTATTAGTAATGTATTGTAGTAGAAGTAGATTTTCCCAAAATACGTTTAATACAGTATTTAGCACCTTTTTTTTTTTTTTTTACAATTTGTATATTCTTTTAATATATTACTAATATACTTTAAATTAGTCATAAATATATTTACATTTTTAAAAGTAGGGTATTTCTAGTTTTTTCTTTTTAAATACAGATATAGTATGTTAAAAGCACATTTTAGTTCAATTTCATGGTGTCTCAAAACAGCACATTTGAGTACACTTAGATGGTATTAAGTTCATCTTAACATATACTTAATACTATCTTTTAGTACATTAAGTACAAAATTAGTGTGTGAAATTAGAGCACTTTTAGTACATCACTAAAAAGTATAATTAGTGTACTTAAAGTGTATTTTAGCACACTGCTTTCACATTTTGTTTATTCTTTTAATAAATTACTATTATGCTTTAAGCTATTCTTTAAATATATTTATAAATGTTTAAAATTAGGGTTCAAGTGTATTTCAAGTTGTAACTAAATATATATTTTATAAAATATAGATATAGTATGTTAAAAGCACATTTTAGTTCAGTTTCAGGGTGTCTCAAAACAGCACAGTTGAGTACACTTAGATGGTATTAGGTTATCTTAACATATACTTAATACTATCTTGTAGTACATTAAGTACAAAATTAGTGTGTGAAATTAGAGCACTTTTAGTACATTACTGAAAAGTGTACTAAGTATGCATAAAGTGCATTTTAGTGCACTTTTTTTTACCTGGGTTACGCAGCTGATGCCCTTCCAGTGGCAACCCATCACTAAGAAATATCCATACACACGCGTTCACATACATACAGACAATTGAGCCTACCCAGTTCACCTGTACCACAGACCACGAGAAGGACAGAGAATGCGTCCTGTGAGAAATTAGATGCTTTGTCTTTCTTGATGGTCACGTGACCCTCACGCATCTTTAACCAAAAATTGTTTAAACATTACAGCATTCATACAACACTTTATTGTTTTTCTCCTTTTCACAATATATACTACGCATAAAGTCTTTACAGATATACGTTGCAAAATATAAATAAAACTAATTTTAATACCAATTTCAGGAAATAAACACCCTTAATGTGTTTATTCCTTTATTAAGATTTTCATGGTAATGTTTATGTTCACCATTTCATGTAGGGAAACTCCTGAGATAAATAAGCTATATCTTAAATATGAACGTTAATAATAAACCTACATGAAATGCTCTGCTTTCCACCTCCAGTTGCAATGACTTCTGAGACCTCTAGAGCGAGTTTGGTGCTCAGGTCTGCATCCGTACATCCTCGATATCAAAACCACATACGGGAAGTTTCACGCGTCCTCGAGGACGCAAGATCGCTGAGAAATGCATATTGAAAAACAGCCAGTAACTTGCTTGGTTTCTAAATGAGTCAGCTTTCTTGAACAAATAACTTGAATAGACGATTCACTGAATCCCTCGTCAGGACAGGGATTTGCTGCCACC